TTGGTCTTTGAAGGCTGGGGTCTTTGGTCTTTGAAGGCTGGGGTCTTCGGTCTTTGAAGGCTGGGGTCTTTGGTCTTTGAAGGCTGGAGTATCTTTTGGTCTTTGAAGGCTGGGGTATCTTTTGGTCTTTGAAGGCTGGGGTCTCTTTCTTGAGGGGCCGCCAAAAAGGCCAGGCGACTGGGCGGTGGCCTGGTGCCGCGGTGCCCCGGGCCGGGCAGAAGAAAAGTGTGCTACACCTAAGACCCTGGATCTTCAAGCTGCCTAAAGATCTGCTGGGTGCATTTGTCAGTGAGAAAAAGGGAACGTTGTCTTTTTCCAAAACCTCATTATAGTTCAAGGGTGAAACCCTTGCAAAGCTGTGCTCAAAATGAATGGTTGGTCACCGCTGTATCTTGGTGTCTCACCTCGCCGTTCCCGGCTTATCACAACAAAAAAGCCGTCGCAAAAAGACGCCGTAAGTGCATTTTGGTCCTGGTGATTACTGTAGTTGCGCCATATTGAAGATCGGACTAGTAACTTCCAGCGGTTCCAAAGGGATGCCTATTGGTTCACTTAGGGACTAAAAACATCCTTTGGAACAGCTGGCTCATGTATAGCTTAGTGTTCTGGGGATGTTTGCTGGGAATCATTCTTCAGCATGGCCCTCAACACCTGCGAACCCACCAAACAAACACAACAAGTGGAGGCATTACCTTACTGTAGTGATCGTTATCTACACTGCGACTCACCTACGATGGACTCGAATGGACCTGCATATGGCAGATATGGGGGGCAACCACATTCGATCTCATATCCACCAAGTGGCTTGGCCCGCTCCACTAAGGACTGAGGAGACCTCAGCCAAAACGCAGTCCGTCCACATGACCCCCGCCCATGCGTTCAAAAAGAGAAGACTCAGGACCCAAGGGGGCCATGGTTATTCTACGACCACTGGGCTTAGACATGTTCTTCTTCGGCCAAAGCAGGCGCCTACGTGTCAAGACATGCGTCTGCCGTCTGCAGCACCGAGAGGCTTCAAGGTCTCAACATAGGCCGCCTTGCCTCGCGTTTGGCGAAGGCGCAAGAAATGTTAAACATCATATCATCCACCCTTCGCAGAAGAACGACGATGCACTCCCTAGAATCATCATGGAAGTGAAGTTTGCAACCCGTTGTGTAGTGGAAATGTGTCTTCCAAGAGGCCATGCCATCTGCTGGATTGTGCCCCTTTTGCAGGAGTTGTTGGAAGACGCTATGTCATTTCCCCCTGTGCTAAGTCTACAAGACGAGCTGTAAGAATGACTGAAGTGTTGGAGCGACGTGGGAACAACAAACTTCCGAGTCAAAGCTCCTCAACTATCGTTTGCAGCGGTCGCTGCTCCCCACCCTCACACCCTCCGTCCCCTCCTTCCAGAATGGCGTCATGGAAGAGCAGGTGCAAGCGCCAATTTCCTGGAACGCCACCGACAAGCCCAACAAACACCGGAACCGGTGAAACGAGAACCACGTCTCCAAACCCAGCCTAGAACCACCGTCTCCAGACGCAATGCTCAAAACATATGGAGGTCGGAGTCGGTATGAATCGGTCATAGTCGGGAGGACTGCTTTGGAGATCTTGATGGGTGGTTCTCACAGAGTGTACATACAGCTGGCGATGCCCTTGGGGAGGAAAAACACCAACGGATTGGACACTGGCGATCTGTATGGTCTTCCAGCTTGCCATCTTCTACCTCCAGGTTGAATCCATTATAATCCATTAAACCACCCCTTGAGGTTCCTGGTGCTGAAAGCCGCCCAAAGCTCCGGGCGGCCGGTCCAAAAGCGCATCCGAGGAGCCCATCAGCGTGTCTAATCCCACGTCACGGATGATCTCATTCGTCACGCTGCTCCGCAGCAACAGCACCTGAGCGATGGAGGTTTGCTGCGGGGGCCGGGTATACAAGGATTCGTCATGTGGAGGAGGCTCGCTCAAAGGAGCCTGGCACAAGTCTTCCAAGCCCTGAGATGAGGCTGTGTTCGTTGGGGGCACTGTAGGATTGGGATGGATATGGATATGGTGTCTTTTCAGAGAAGTTCAACCCAAAACCTGCAAAAAGGCCACCTGCTGGAGAGGTGGCCTACTTCGTGTGCCCCGGGCTCCCGGACATAGCGCCCCACCATGCGCTCGTAGACGGCCTCGCAAAAATGAACGGATCGGATGGACCAAACGAACCCAAGGCCAGTGGACCCTCTTCCCTTTCGAAGCGGACATCAAGAGTCTACATTGCCATTGCCTCTGTATGCTAGTGCTTTTTGCCATTTTTTGCCATTGCGCTGCTAGCTGTCAACTTGTCACATCGTCTCTGTTGAGACCAAGTGGCCAAGCTCTTGCGGCCGAAGCGCGCCTCAGTCGTCGTGAGCGCGCCTCTTCCGTGCAGGGGCGCTGGGTGGGACTGGTGATGGGACCAAGGGTTGCAGTTGAGGCTGAAATATTATATACCATTATATACCGCAATGAAGATTCTTCAACAAAGTTCCCCGATGTGGAATGTGGAGAGTAAAACTCTTCACATGGTGGGTTCTATTCATCAAGAGTCTACGTTGCTGGTGAGTACTCGGGTTGGAAGATGACGGACTTTTCCATCGAAACCTGTGGCTAGCCAAGCACGGTACAGCGATTTCATCCTCAGCTCTTGAGAAGCTGCCAGACTAATTCAACTGCCTTCGTTTCGGCCCTTTCTTGATGCTTGGGTCGAACCTCTGCCACCCCTCACTAGGTCGAACTGCTCATTCTCTCACGTCCCACAAATTGAAATAAACAACAAGAAACAAACTTCCAGGAACCCCCCACCTCCCAGGAACCCCCAAGAACCCCCCCTCCACGGTCCCCGTCACCTTCTTCGCTCCGCCCAACCCCATCGGAGTCAGTCCGCCAAGTTGCTGCGATTGCCTGGGACCGCGACCACAACGTGGGCCAGTCGCCCCGAGACTTTTGGGCCTCCGGCACGAAGTCGCGCCAAAAGGAGGCCACCTGCACGCGGAAGACGTCTTGGTGTTGTAGCTCACGTGGCTCTCATATTTGTTGCACCAGGGTGGGTTGGCTCTGCACAGGATCAGCACGGGGTGCCGGTGGCCCCAGAAATTGGCCGACTTTGAGGCCGCCCGAACAACAAAAAGCGCAATTCGAGTTCTTTTTAATACCCGTTGAATAATGCCCAAAGCTCAAACCCAGGACTTTATTTAATAAAATCCTTCGGGACTGAGGTCATTTCCTTATTTTTTTGTGGCCCAAGGTACGAAGCTCAAAAAAATGACGATTTTTTTTGGCCTTTTAATTTCCTGGACCAAGGGGTTTTCTAAAGTCTGGGACTGAGGTCGGGACATGTGTGTAAAACAAAATTCTGGTTCTTACTGAAATGCTGTCATTGACCCTAGCTCGTGAATTTATGCGCAAAAAAAGCTGTACTTTTTTCCTTTGCATGATCTTTCGAAAGTGTGGTATTGGTGAACCGTCTGTACTTCCATTGAGGGAATAGACCTGCAGAGTTTGTGTGGCGTATTAGTCATTTATAACTAGATTTTGGTTCATTGAAACACTCTCGTGTCTGTGACATGCATGCTGCGAGCATGACCGCGGAACACAAGATCACAAGGAACGACTGCGAAACACAAAACACAATATAATCCTGAGCTTGACCCTCAGAGACCTCCAAGTGGAAAAAAAACATCCGTTTATAGAATCCTGCGTCTGACCTAACGTGTAGTCTTTCAAGTCAGTCACATCATCATTTATCTAGCTTTTCTGAAGTTCTGGACCAAGGTACTCTTTGGGAATGCCGGATCAAAACCCATCCATGTTATGAAGTCCTGGACGTACGTGTATTTCGGAAAATGGTTTGTACTATTTAGTGGGGTTGAGGTCAAGGATTTTAGTATGGATTATTTAACGGATATTTTTTACAGATTCTTTGAGCACAACTTTCTCATGAATCCCCAGTGACCCCTTCCGCGCCTCCTCCTCAGGTAGCCCCGCCGTGGCCGCCTCCACTGTGGCCGCGTCGGGTGCAGGCGTACGGAGGGCCTGGCACAGGAGGGTGGCACTATCCTGGGGCTATATATAATAACTGCATGTGTTCCTAAACTATCATGGTTTTTTGCCTTTAGAGTGGTCGATGGTGAAGACTAGGGCGTGGTTCAAAAGAAAACTTGATGCCCCCTGGACAACTATGACTGATGGGCTCAAAGACCTCAATAAAGGACGTATCACCGTCAGACAATCTCTGCGCTCACCCCGCCGGCCCTGGGCTCGCCTGTAATTACTCACACTCAACGGATCGCGGCAGTGCTACCCTGCCAGTGGGGAACCTTCCAAGGAGGTGATCCTTGTCAGTTCCTTTCGCTGTCTGTTCGCGGGCCTCCAAGGTGGCGGCCCGGGCTCTCCAAATGTCCTCGGGACGAAGCAGTCTGCTCTGCAAACGCTGGCATGTTTCTTCAAGATCGCTGTCTGCATACCAGTGTGCATATATACATATATATGGCCTATGGTCTATACTTGCCGGTTGACTGGTTGGTGGCCTCAACTACTTTCAAAAAATGAACAATTTTCGTCAATGGGATCGATCATGGCAAGCAAGGTTGAAAATTAGAAGTCCCTGCAATCACCACCCAGAAAGTCATCTAATGTAGACTCTTGATCGATACACCCCCCCCATTTGAATTGAAAATCCTCTTCAAAGGGATTCAAACGTGGGGGTTTATTAATCAAGAGTCTACAGTCTACATTAATGTCAACATAGGATTAGGCAACCCCCCCTATTAGTCTACCCAGCGTTCAGGCCCCAATAATAGACTAATTTGAACTATGAATTTCCACAGTCACCACCCTCTAATAAAAATTTTGCTTGGCTGAAACCCCCCCCCTATTAGTCTACCCCCTGTCCCCCCAGGAAAAATATAACTATTTAAATATATATGTGCGTTTAAATACTAATTCCCTTTCATTCCAATTCTTCCAACTACTAATTCGCTTTCATCCCAACCTTTCCAAATACTAACGCCCTTTCATTTCAATTCTTCCAAATACTAAATTCCCTTTCATTCCAATTCTTCCAAATACTAATTCCCTTTCATTTCAATTCTTCCAAATACTAATTCCCTTTCATTCCAATTCTTCCAAATACTAATTCCCTTTCATCCCAATTCTTCCGAATACCAATTCCCTTTCATTCCAATTCTTCCAAGTACTAGCTCCCTTTCATCTCAGTTCTTCCAAATACTAATTCCCTTTCATCATCAGGTCATCCCCACTATTAGGGGGATGTGATCTCCAAAACCTCCAATCTCAGACCTTGTTGACCTTGTTGACCTTCTACGGGGGGGGAGGGGGGGGCCCGTTGATTAATCCGACGTCGACATTACTAAGTTGAGTGCAACGCTGCTGCGGCGCCTGGTGGGACACGTGGTGGGGTGAGAGACACGTGTGCCACTCACACTCACCTCTGTGAAGTCCCTGCCGGGCGACACGACGAGTTAGCTTAGCGCAGCACTGCGAGACAGTGCTTAAAAGACATGTCCGCACTGTCCAGTAAAGAACTTCGTGAGGTGAGAGGCTCCCAGATTTTGTGAACCTGGTTTGGCGGTGAAGCGCCCAGTCCCTGAGCATCTGTGCTGGGCTCCGGGCTTCGGTTCCCGGAACGGTGTTTCTGGTTCCCGTGGTGTTTCTTTTCCTGGATTTGATTTTTTGGGTTCCCGCACGTCGGGCGGTGTTTCCGGCTTCCACTTGGGAGGTTTTGTGGTTCCCGCTTAGGTGTTTTCAGCGGCTGGGATGGTGTTTCTGGTGGCCGGGGGTGTTTCCGGCACCTGGAAAGGTGTTTTTGGCTCCCGCAAGAGAAATATAGAGAAAACGTATTTTTGGTTCCCGCCGGGGACAACACTGTCGGCTGCATGTTTTTGGTTCCCGCACAGGAAATATAGAGAAAAGGTGTTTTTGGTTCCCGCCGGCGACAACACGGTCGGCTGCACCACTTGCAACGTTGTGACGCGGCAGAACGCACGGTGGAGCATTCGAGACGTTGCAGTGCAACGAACGGGTCAGCTTGGAAATAAAACAGAAAAGCAGAAAACAAGAGCAGTGGAAATTGATGGTATCGGTGGCTTTGCGAAACTGTATGCGGAGATATATGGCCAGGTAAGAAATACGAAGACAGCGTCACAGAAAAGTGTAACAACGAGCTGACGTAGAAAACAGTGTTGGTTGTAAGGTCTGATCGCGGTGGCGGATCTTTTAAGCACACCAGCGGATTCTGAAAACGCCAGTCAAGGAAGGGAGCACACCTGAGAGCAAAAAGCAACCCACAGCGATCCATTAGAAAAAGCTGCCTTGCAGGAACAAAGCTTCTGTCTGGACTTTGTTCGCATTGCGGGGGAGGCGCTGCGCCCTCCCCTGCACCCCCTCCCGCTGTTTAATTTGGACCATGCAACCGAGCAAGCAACCAGCAAACCACATCGTGTCTGAGGTCAACCCCTGCGGAACCACCAAAGCTGCAAGCAACAAGCCAGCCACAGTGATCCCTGAGAAAAAACTTTGTTGCAAGCTGCGGTAGAAAGCCAGCCAGAATGACCCCCTAGAAAAACCTGCGTTGCAAGAACAAAGCTGCTGTCTAGACTTTGTTTGCATTGCAGGGGAGGCGCTGCACCCTCCCCCGCACCCCGCTCCCGCTTTTCAATTTGGACCATGCAACCGAGCAAGCAACCAGCAAACCACATCTGGCGCTTTGTCCTCCCCCGCACCCCCTCCCGCTTTTGAATTGGGGACATGCAACCGAGCCAGCAACCAGCAAACCACCAATGCTGTATATATATATATGTATATATGTATATATAAAGACTATATATTCAAAAACTCATATACGTACCTAACTTATTAACACCTGGGTGTGAGTTTTGTGTTCACGGTTTCATGCAAAAGGCCGCAGACGACCACTCGGTCAAGGACCTCAGGATGGGAACCCAAAACACCGCTGGGAACTGGAAATACCCGGCGGGGACCCAAAAAAACGATTCCAGGAAAAGAAGCACCACGGGAACCAGAACAGAAAGGCACGCTGTGGGGGCCTGCGTTTTTTGAGTTCTTCTAAAAAACCAGTGTTTTCGATAAAGCCCTTTTTTAGTATATAGACATATATAATATATACACACATATACTTTTTACTTTCCCGATATTTTTTGTTAGCTATTCAAAAAAATAGAAGATGTGCAAATCAATAACAAAAGCTTATGTGCCACACAATGTAGGCAAGGAACAAGGATCTCTCACTATGAAGGTGGAAGAGAGGGATCTCTGGGGGGGTGGTCGGGCAAAAAAACATGTTGTTCCCCCCCAGCTGGGAACCCCCTAGACCCTTCCCTGGTGGTTTATCATCAAGTGTCCGTAGCTTGGAACATGTGATGCAACACCAGCGGCTTCACTACTGTTATCATCCATAGCTTCTGTAGCTGGGACCTGTGATGCAAACAGCTTCCCCTGCTCTTCTCATGAAGTGTTTGTGCTTGGAACATGTGATGCAACATCAGCTGCTTCACTACTCTTAGCATCAATTCTTCTGTTTTTGAAGCTGGAACATGTGATGCAACACCAGCTGTTTCACTAAAGACTTCATATCCATTGTAGAACAGACCCAAATATTAGCTATGTGTTGGGTAGCCCTTGGTATGCTTAGGCATACGGGCTTAACAGGTGTTTAGAGGTAGGGGTTTAGTCAGGGTAGTCGCGGGCATCCAGCAGATCAGAAGGTGGGCTAAACAGCCATGAAAATCAACCCAAGATGGGTTTCAATGACCTGTCGAAAGGCTCACAAGCGGGGTTTAGCCACGCAAAATTCCAGCCAAGCAAGGGGTTTACAATTCCCCTTTTTGATCCGAATAATGGGCTGTGGCCACCTTGTCAACAGCACAGGCCTGAAAAAACAACTGAAATCAAGAAATGACCAAAATTGCGCCAAACTGCATAGGTGGTAGGGAATAGGCCTGGGACTCAAGAAAGACCCTGTGAAGTCATGGTTAGACAAAGTGAAATACGTCAGGAACATTGTTGAAACAAAGCAGGAATTGATAGGTCGGGAATGGGTCGGAAATAGGTCGGGGCCCCAAGAAAGACCCTGCGAAGTCATGGTTGGAACAAAGCCGGAATAGATCGGGGATAGGTCGGAAATAGGTCGGAATAGGTCGGGGCCCGAAGAAAGACCCTGTGAAGTCACGCTTGGAACACAGCAGGATTAGGTCGGGAATGGGTCGGAAATAGGTCGGAATAGGTCGGGCCCTAAGACCCTGTGAAGTCATGGTTGGAACAGGCAGGAATAGGTCGGAAATAGATCGGGAACCCAACTACAGCGGGATATAAGCATACTGGCCAGAGCTAATGACAATTAACATCATCAGGGTATGCTTAGGACCAATGTAGTAGGGTTCCCGACCTATTCCGACCTATTTCTGCTTTGTTCGGACCATGACTTCACATGCTACTTCCCTGAGGAGCAAAATGCATCCTGTCAGCGTCAGCCCAGGCACAATGCTGTGTTCCGACCAACACATCGTTTCAACCACACGGAATGTCAGCGCGACATCACAATGCTTTACGAACAGCAAATTAAGAAGGCGGTGCATCTTGGAACCCACGAACCCCACTCAACAAGCTTGACTTCACATGATCAAACCTGCTGATGCGATAAAAGGCTTGGTTGCCCCGCGCGCGCAAAAGATTTTTTTGATTCATTTATCCCACCCGTGGCAATCAAAAGATCGCCCCTTTGAGCTAGCAATTGTGTATGTTTGCGCCGCCCGACCCTAGTGAAGCTTCAATCTATATAGAAGCAACACAATCACTTCAGCGAGACGCTTTTGACACCAGTGACCCCCGTATCACGCAAACATTTTGTGCGTTTAGCCCCTGCAAAACATCGGCTCCAGCAAGTGAGAATACACACATGTGACCTGGCATTGATGTGTTTTTATGCTGCCTGACCCTGGCGAAGTGCAATCTCGGAACCAACAAATCCCATTCAGCAAGCCTAATTACAGTTAAATATCCCCAACTTCCTTGCGACACACCCTGCAACACCCTAGCGGGCCAACTGCGTAAGCATACCCGAAGAAGCTAAGTGCCTAAGCATACCAAGGGTTACCCAAGCTATGTGTTTAAGAGCTTGATGAGGAAATCTGTTGGTGAGACCATGGCAAAGGGGCAGCAGGCTATGGACACCAGTGAGGTGTATCAGATGAGATGGGCATGAAGGATGCTGCGCAAAGCCTGCATCAAGCCATGAGGGGGATGGTTGAAAGGAAAAATGAAAAGGAATGGGTGCTGAGAGGGCTCAGGAGGAATGGGTTCTTGGCTATGAGGCAGGGAAGAATGGGGTCATGAAATGGTGTGGTGATCAGCCATGGGCAAAGGATATGCCACTGGGAAGTGGCAGGATTCATGAGGGATGGGTGAAGAATAGGTTGGTGCATGTGAAGGATGGGGTTATAGCACCTCCCAATTGGTCAAGGATTCAAGGGGCCAAGGAATTGGCTGATTTGGTTGAGTGGATGTATCATTCAGATCAGGACAGGTACAAAGATGCAGACATCCCAGGATTAGCTGATGAGCAGCTGCCAGAATGGGTGGATGCCAGCAATTTTCAATTGCAATTGGCCTATAGGAAGGCAGCTGTGCAAAGAGAGCATTCCATGAGCGATGGGGCAAAAGAGAAAAGGAAAAAGCAAAATCAGAGGAAGATGAATAGGAAAGTTTTGAGGGATGCTGCCAAGGCATTGGGTGATGAGGAGAAGACAGCCATCAGAGATCAGCTGTAGCAGGGGAGCAGGCATGAGGTGATGAGTGCAATGGTGCCATCAGCTACCAGGAAGGGAGCAGCACAGAATAAGGACAAGAAGAAGAAGAAGAAGAAGATTAGTTGGATGAAGAAGGCCAAGAAGCATATGCACAAGAACATGAAGAAAAGGCATTGGAGGATGTGGCCAAGGAAAAGCTATCAAAGAAGAAGGCACTGGAGGACGGGGGTCATGAGAGGCATGATGAGAAACCCAAGCAGAAGAAGCTCCCATTGGGGGATAAGAAGGATGAGAAAGGCAAGGATGAAGCCAATCTCCCATTGCCACCACCAGCATGGGCACCCCCAGATGGATGGGAGGGGAAGATCAGGGTCATCAGTGAATACTCTGTATTGGAGGCAGGGTGAGGCATTGGACCAAGGAGGGAATGATGTCCATATGCTTTTGGAGGAGGATTGGAAAAATAATGGTGATAGGAAGGCATGGGTCATGAAGGAATACCTCACCAAGGTAGGGGGATGAGAAGATTTGGAGATGGCCCCAATTGAGCATGAGCAGGGGGATGAAGCTGGAGATGCTCTATAAGGCTGGCCTATTGTCTATGGACCTTGAGCTCATTGATGTGAATGGGGGTGTGGAGGCGGTATCAGAGAAGAGCATCCAGGAGAATGGGGTGGATCAGCAAACATTGGTTTTGGGATGGGCGCTATCAGGTGGGTAGCCAATGAGAAGAAGCTGGATCAGTTGGACCCTGTGAGATTCATGCATCCCTCTATCAGCTATGGCCTTATTTTCCATCAGAACAATGAGTATGGCCATAAGGAGCTGGTGGCACCATGGGAGAAGATATCTGACGAGGGCAAGCTGTATTTGATCCCCATTCCAGCTGGGGGGGCATTGGACACTGCTGGTGCTGGATTTGAGGATGGGTGTGCCTTTCGGTAGGGAGCTTTCCAAGGCTGTTACGTCCTCACGGAGGTTGTAGCCCCAGGCTGCGTAGTTCAGCAGAGGAGTCTTCGCCGAGTGCTGCTCCCTCAGCAAAGTGGGCACTGGCAGCGAGGAGGAAGCCAACAATGTTCTTGCACCAGGGGTGGTTTTCCTTTGACGGCGCCTCCTTGGTTCCGCATTCGTGGCTACCAGCTGGCAAAAAGGCAAATCGTGACGAATGGACCCAGGTCAAAGGGCCATTCCCTCACTAACAATTCGCTTCTATTTAATGCACACTTTCACTGGTGGTATGAGCACAGTAGCAATGCTGCAATTTTGGACTGTGCCATCCTTTCCATCGTTTTCATCCTTGCCTTTTTGGTGGTGCTACGGCACTCACAGGGTGATAAATGCCTAAGCAGTACTTGCAACAGCACATGCAACCGTTTGCTCGTTGGGCTCTTATGCCCCTGATTCGATCGCACCTTGCTCCGCTTCATGAAGAACAAGAAGTACTGAGCGTTTTGCGGAATTCATCGGGCCGCTTTGCTTTCGAAAGCTGTCTCACACTCACTACTATCACTTTCGCCATGGACCATACCAATAAGCCTCGTACCCTGCCGGATGGCAGCTTCTGCGGAGCTGGCATTGAAAGCCTTTGTCTCCCCAGCGACTTTCACAACATTGGCCTCAGGGCCTGTGAAAACTGCAAGCGATTGGTCGAAGTCAACCTCATGTGCACAGACATCACGGTTATCCTCAACTCAACGTTTGCGCACTGTGTCGCGCTGACTGATATCTGGCTACCGCCAAGACTGACGCGAATTGGCAAAGAGGCGTTCCTCGGCTGCATATCGCTTCGCGAGGTGGTGATCCCGACAGAACTCCAAGACATAGGCATTCGGGCTTTCTGCGGGTGTGAGCAGTTGAAGCGTTTCACACCCCTTGACTGGGGAGAAGGCGACAAGGCCATACAAGCAGAACACAATGCCCTTCTGCTGTGCGACAACTTTGACAGAGCATCTTGGGTGGAGCTCCTACCACTGGGGGGCCCTGACTCTGATGCCTTTGACGAAGAGTTCCACACAGAATTCCCATAACATGGGTTGGTCTGCAAACAAGTCAGGCAACAAGGGTGATCGCGTCTCTTTTGCCCACGATTTTTTCCTTCAGTTCTTTTTTATGGCGCTCTACTTTGCCCAGGAATGTTGGGTCCCCCGTAAGCCATCGGCAGAGTTCCTTCCACTGTTCGTCCGTATACGTCACGTTGCCGTATTTCTGGTATGGTCGATCGTCCTCACGACAGGGAGGATAGCCATAGTGGTAGTGGTTGTGGATGAGTTGAGTCGAGTGAGGTCATGGCGTGGTGAGAGGAGACTCCAACCCATTCTATAGGGTGGACGTCAACGTGCACTTTTTGGCAAGGATATGCCAATTGGGTCGTGAGAGGACTACTGCCAGACCAGTGAGGAGCCACTAGGAGATGATTTCATACTTGTTGCCATTACTCCGTGCAGAGTAGGTATCCTTTGCTCTGATCAGAAGGCTTTGCCGAAAGGAGAAGCAGCCTTGTCCGTCTGGCGGCACATAGGTATCATCCTCAACCTCCTCTTCGTCACCCTCAGGGTCCACAGTGGCCCTGGGCATTTCAGGTCAGGTATTATAAGACATTGGAGACCCCATCAGGTTTATCCAAGGAATGGGGTGAATTGATATTGGCTGCATTGCTCCAATTGGGTATCATTGATGAGAAGTTCTTGGGCAGGCCCCCCCTACAAAGGGTGAATGAGGTGGTGAGGCAAAAGAAGGGATCCAACCAATGTGGTGTATTTGTATTGGCCTACATGGAGCAGGAGGTTGCTGAGGCCATGGGGTGTGGCCCAGCAGGGGTTGGATGGCCATGGGTTGCTGCCCAGAATCGGATCACCAAGATGAAGAAGATGGGTGAGCAATTGGAGATTGAGAGGGAGAAACTATTTCACTACTGTTATCATCCATATCTTCTGTGGCTGGCACCTGTGATGCAACCAGCTTCCCCTGCTCTTGTCATCAAGTGCCTGTAGCTTGGAACATGTGATGCAACACCAGCTGCTTCACTACTGTTCTCATCCATAGCTTCTCTGGCTGGAACCTCTAATGCAAACAGCTTCCACTGCTCTTCTCATCAAGTGTGTTTATCTTGGAACATGTGATGCAACACCAGCTGCTTCACTACTCTTAGCATCAATTCTTGTGTTTTTGAAGCTGGAACATGTGATGCACCACCAGCTGTTTCACTACAGACTTCACATCCTTTGTGTAACAAGCCCAAAAATAGTAAAAAACACACAAAAACACTGAAAAACATGGGCCCTCACAGAGTTCCTCTCTCAACCAGAAACACCATTCCGGGAACTGGAACACCCAACTGCTCTGTGCTGCTCGCTTTTGGCATCAAAAGCAGCACAGTAGCCCCGCGATGTCATGTCCAAAGTGGCATTTCCCTAAGCTCCACAAATTCGATTTCTTCCATGCCGAGGACGCCGCCTTCAACCTTAACTTAATTTGTTAAAGATTGCCACGGAAGTGGACATGGCGCCAAACCCATTGGTAAAGTCTCTGAGCACAAGTTCTTGGTGCTGCAAATGACACACATTCCGCGCCGATTGCCATGCAAACTATGAGGTGATCCTAATCCAAGTACTCTCTGTAGCAGCACGTGCGGCCACCATTTGACAAAAATATGCAAAGAATTCCATGTGGGTTGTTTTTGAAATGTAGTGACTTTAGCTTCTTGATTTGTGGGTCAGTTCTCCTCTTCCTGTTCATCCATGTCCTACCCTCCACGAACGTGCTCTCCTCGCGCCGAGCGGCGTGCTCCGGGTGGAAGGCTTCGGGACATGGCACCCAGCGATCCCACACGGTTTCATCCAGCCGACCTCGGTGCTGCTGGGCGACCCGCTCTCCCGGGGGAGTGGTCGACCCAGGGCAGCAGCTCCAGACCCATCAAACGAAAGGATGAAAAATCGAAGGGAGGATGATTTGAGATGACTCGCGGTTCACGGATCTGACATGCTATAAATAAACACCTGATTCTACTGACCTCCAAGGTCTTCAGTCGCTCCACCGTGACAATTACAACACTCTACCCGAATGACTTGGAAACTATCCGATCCCAGATCATCCATGAGACTGGAATAGTTACTGTTCCAGTCCCATCAATATTCTGTATATATAGACACCCTAGTGCCTTCTAAGTGATTGACAAACATTTACAAACCACCCTTTTGTCGCTTGTTGTGGTGGAAAAGAATGACCAACTGCATTACACATGGAGGTCCCCACCCACCTTTAGTGGTCTCCAAGTCAACATCTTCCCGAAAAGGCTACATGGCAACAGAACAGAACCAGCAGGTTCTCAGGGTACTTGCGACACATCACATGCTGGAAGACTCTACAAGCAGGATCAAGCAGAATCAAACGGCGGGCGTTTCCTCATGCTTTCTCCACTTTCCACGCCGTGTCCCCAAATGCCCCAATTCGTGCCCCAAATTCGATCGGGCCCCCTGGTACCCCGGTTTCTCAAACCCAAAGCGCGTGGAGCGATCACCTCACAGAGCTCTTGCACGTACCACCAGTTCCTCGTCCGAGCCAGTTGGATCCCGGAACCCCAGGAGTCACGTGTCACCAGTGGCTTTTGGAGTTCCATCGGATCACGGGCACCCCGAGCTCTGTGATGGCACCCCGAGCTCTGTGACGGCACCCCGAGCTCGGTGACTGGACAAGACATAGACAGAGACGGTGAAGCGAACTTTCGGTGGGGGACGTCACGAAAAACGATGGTCAGATGGCACAATCCCCAATGTCGGTGGTGTATATGGACCCCTAAGAAAAAAGGACATCTTGGGGTCAGTATGGGTCAGTATGAATGGCTATCATATTTGTTTATATACTCTGAAAGCACGGCTACCCAAAAAGGACTAGGCTAATAGCCAAATGGGGGGCGATGGGCGACGGGTGGGGAATCCATGGGCGACGAAAACGGCATGGGGTGACCCAAACAGAACAGCAATCATCAATGAAGATCATAAGTATTGAGGTTTGAGGGGTGAGAAGTGCCCCGTGTGAGCCCCAATTGATGCAGCCTCCCGAGGTGGAGAACACTTTAAGTCTCAGAGACCCTTGGTGAATTAAATTCTCAGATCACCCAAACAATCCACACTCTCTCCCACGCTCTCTCCAAGCAGCTCTCCAGTCTCACAGCCTTTTTCGCGCTTTTTCACCTCCAACCCGCGGACGCGGGCCTCGTCGGCCAGCGCCCAGACGCACTGCCGAGCACCAGACGTACCTAAGGCCCGGCGGAGGCGCCAGACCAGGTAGGCGCAGGTCAAGGCCATCTCCGGGTCCATCTCCGCCGGAAACTCCCAAAGAGACCGGAGCGTTTGGAAGGCCTCGAGAATCCCCAAGTGAGGAAGAGCCCAACGGTTCGGGGGGAAGACTTGTTTCCCAAAGCCTTTAAATTACAAGAAATCTGAGAACTGAAATGAATTGGATACTTGAAAAAATAAAACACATCCCTGTTTCTAACCATTCAACCTCTCAGTCTTGCTTTGCGGGCATATTGCCCATATTCCTTCTACTGTACTCAAAAAACCTTGGATCGCCTCCCCCCCAAAAAAAAATACCACCTCAATTAGGCAACCCAAGATGAAAGCTGAGGGAAGCCAGCCAGAAGGATTTGATCCAGGTGGGTGGATGTGCCCAACTGCAGGGAGCCTACCTTTCGTGACTTGAACCCGCCTTCGCCAGCCCAGAAGCTCCCCACAAGAGCAGCAGCAAGGCTTCCACCTCCCGCGCCAGCAAGATCCGCTCCAAGGACGACAGCACGGAGCCGGCGCGCGGTCCATCCAGGTCCCGCGCGCTTGGAGAAGCGCGGGAGAACCAGAAGCTTACCTGGCGGTGGTGCAAAGCAGGGATGGACCCCGTTTTACACTCCGACTCGCTAACATCGAAGTGGACGGTACCCTGTCTGTAGAGGAAACGATTCGCTCTCAGCTTCCACTTCCATGTGAGTGAGTCAAAGGGTATGTGACATGACATGTTTTTTTTGCCATTGGGTTTGGATGGTGGCCAATTTTGGAGTCATAGCCACTCACTGGGGTGGAGAAATGGCATGAAAGAGGGGCTGAGCCAACGTCGCTTGCTGGCTTGCTCAAACTTGGGAAGTCAGCAATGATGCGCATCATCAGTCATGCAACTAGTGGGTTTCCCTTCTCAGCACCAACACAAACACCTATTGGAGGCCCGGGGAAAGTCGCACACACAGATGCGCAGTTACAAATTGGAATCAAAATGAATCACGTCGAAACTTCCACTCGAATCTGCGACTCTGTTGCAGAGAGGGAATCTTCGGTCAAGGACTGGACGTGATGATACCAGCCACAGGGCAAGATGAGCACATCGCCGGGTCCCAACACCGCCTCCACCACCTGGACCTCTGAAAGCCTTGGGAAGCGCTGGTAGTCTGGATGCTCCAGATCGGCACGAGCGCACCGGTCCATGGGGTGCCCCTGGGGAAAGGGGTACAAGCCATAGGAGTAGCGTGGGTCGATGAGGAGGAACCGCTTCCAACCTTTCACCTGGACGTAGGCGTTGTGGAGCAAGTCATAGTGACAAGGAGTCAAAGCATCCCTGCATCCAATGAAGAGTTGCGCCTGCTCAAACTCGCCCCATTGCCCTGCCTCCTGAATCCGTCTCAGCTCCTTCCACGTTTGCTCATCCGCCAGGTCCTCATCCACTGCACTACCCAAGTTGAAGCCTTCAAACTGCCCCTCCACCTGCCGCAGCACGACGCCCCACAAGTAGTAAGCAAAGCCATCTCCACCATCTCCTTCCGCCCTCCGCTTCCGCCGCGCGAAGTCGTGGAACTCCAACAGGAGCCGCTCGGCACAGGTCTCCAAGCCCAACCCGAAGCCGCCCTCCTCCTCCGTGCCATGCGCGGCGACATGCGCGTAGCGGAAGCGTCGCTGCGGTTCGGGCGCGCGGTAGACCGAGAAAAGCGAGGCCTCGGGGGAACCCGCTGGCGGACAGGTCTCCTCAAAGAAGTCCAAGCTCCAACGACCTTGAGCACCTGAGATTGGCAAATACATATAAATATATATATATATTCTACTATTTTATATAAGAGTCTATTGAATATGGAACCCGCGAACCCGAATGCAAACACGTACTCGGAAACAAACACCCAAACAATTTTTGACACTCTTGTAAGAGACACTTTTGCGGGACACTCTTGTAGGACACATATTTTTCGGAAACCTTTGTGGGACACTCTTGTGCACTCTTGTGGGGCACCTTGAATGACATTCACTTTTGCGGGACCCTCTTGCGGAACACTCTTGTAGGACACTCTTGTGGGACACCCTTATGGGACACTCTGGTGGGACACTCTTGTAGGACATTCTTGTGGGACACTCTTCCGGGGCACTCTTGTGGGACACTCTTGTTTGTCACTCTTGTATCACACTCACTCTTGCAGGGCACTCTTGCGGAACACCCTTGTAGGACACTCTTGCGAAACACTCTTGTAGGACACTCTTGTGTGTCGCTCTTGCGGGACACTCTCGTAGGACACCCTTGTGGGGCACTCTTGCGGAAAATTGTTGTAGGACTCTCTTGTGGGAAACTCTTGGGCGCTCTTGTGGAACACTCTTGCGGAACACTCTTGTAGGACACTCTTGTGAAATGACCTTGTAGGAAACTCTGGTAGGACACTCTTGTCGGACACTCCGGTGGCACACTCTCGTGGGACACTCTTGTAGGACATTCTTGTGGCACACTGACTCTTGCGGGACACTCTCGTAGGACACTCTTGTGGGACGTGCGCAACTCTCTTGTATGACACTCTTGCGGGACACTCTTGTGGGACACTCGGACACTCTGGTAGGACACTCTAGCGAAACAGTCTTGTAGGACACTCTTGTGGGACACTCTTGTAGGACACTCTTGTGGGACACTCTTGTATGTCATCTGTGTTGGCAATCCACTGGTCCCGAAAAATTTTAAGGAAATTAGCTATAATGCTAAGGAAACAGAAGCTGTTCAAGCTAGCGCCCCTTTTTCTCATTGGCTAGCTCAAGCCGTACTGGCCGCAGGAAGGCTAGCACCGGCCGCAGGAAGGCTAGCACCGGTCGCAGGAAGGCTAGCAGCGGCCGCAGGAAGGCTAGCAGCATACCTCAAGAATGACGACAGGAAACATACTGCAAAATAGCAATGAATCAAATGAATCAAACTTGGACTGAAAGCAACTGATGAGATCACGAGCATCAGCAACTGAGCGCATCCTTCTTTTAAATATCTTTCTGTGGTGAATCTCCCCTTCACCAGTGCTGGGCCGCTAGGACCGCAGGACCGCAGAACGGCAGTGGTGGATCTCCGGATCTCCCCATCACCATTGCTGGACTGCGAAGACCGCTGAGACCGCAATGGCGAATCTATTCATCACCATTAATGGGCTCCAGCATTTCAACGCCCTACATCCCGCCCCAATTTCGGAGAGCAGGTTTTGGATTGAGGGCTGCCAACATGGTTTTCAACAAAACAGAATTAATCACAAACAGCCGCGCCTGCAGCTTCTTGCATGCTTCGTCCCTACTCGCAACAACCCGGTCCATCAAGTATGGCCAGTGTCGAGACCACTCCTGAATTGTAGCCTGACAAGACTTGTGCCTGCTGCCTGCCAATGGTCTCAGAAGCAATTTCATAAATCACGCACCCAAACGACCATATGTCAACTGCAGGGCCTACAAATTGAGAAAGCTGACACAAGGAAGCACCCCATAGTTCTGGTGGTCTGTACATGGCTGTTACGTACTCTTGAAATCGCAAGGTGCACCCTAAAGCGTTGGAGCCTTTGGCATCCTCGCGAAAAATTGGCAACTCCTCACACAATCCAAAGTCGATCAGCTTCAGCTGCCGCTGGTGGGGGCACCAAAGAGCATTGTTGGGCTTCAAGTCTAGATGTATCAAATTGAGTCGGTGCAAGGCACACAATGCAGTTTTCAGCTGCACACCAATGGCTCGGCAATCATCCAGGCAAAATGCACCATGTTTCTGGAGCAAGGCCCATAAATTGGACCCAAAGCACTCCATGACCAAGAACGGGTATGGGGATGCTCGGGGCTCCACATGCCAAAGGCGAGGAAAAAACCTGTGAGATCTTGCCCCAACTCAGTCTGCAGGCGCTTCAGAACTGAAGCCTCATGCTTCACATCGGCAAGCACATCAGAGCGCTTGAACACTTTCACTGCACAACATCGGTGGAATTGATCCAGGCAAAGAAAGACACTCCCATGAGAGCCTTCACCAAGCTTCTGGCAGCTGGGGCTGTCAAGGCCATCTGTTGCCACCTTGTATTCTCCAATCAAGAGAGGCTGAGGCTGACACTGCTCATTGGTGGCCTCCACATCTGGCTTCACTTCCACAGCTGCCGCACGGGCTTTGCGACATGTTAAGCCATGCTGCTGCATTACAGCGCGCTGGTTGGCAAACTCACCACCTGATTTGATCTGATACTTTTCCTTTTCTTGCTGAGGTAAAGACTGCCACAAACGACCCAGCCGCTTCATTTCCTGTCTCCACACATCACGTCCAGCACCCTTGTGCGCTGCTACATGCTCTTTCACAAACAAAGCAAAGGGCTTGCAAGCCCGTGGCACCACCCCCTTCTCGAACAGCGGCTGCCCGTGTGGTTGCAAGCTTCTTCCTTCGACATGTCTTCTGGCACCCTTTCTGCACAGGCCAAGGCTGCTTACGGCGAAGCCGCACTAAGGGCATTGGCGCTGCCATGAAAACAAATGGGAAGGGCTCTGAGAAATCAAAAAAAAAGACCCTTGAGCACAATGAAACGATGCTTCCATTCATGTTTTTGCAGGAGAACCTTCTGCAAGCATGATTTGAGCGCACTGAAGCATCAAATCCTACAATACTACTACTACTACTACCACCACTACAACTACCACTACCACTACAACTACAACTACAACTTAGACTTACTGCTGTCGGCCTGTTTGTATTTGCACTGAAACCGTCTGCCAAAGCACTGCACCCACATCTTTGCACAGCTGCGGGCAAACTCGGTTGGAGCCAGGCGATGTGACGCAGAAGAGCAATCATGGTGAGAGTAAAAAACACCACTCTCTTTGCTTGGGCCATCCAAGGCAACTTCCAACACGGCTGCAACAGTGCGCTCATCTGTTGGTCCAGAATGAGCAGCAAGCTGGCGGCATAAGTCGCCCAGATTCCGCTCCAAGGTTGTGGTGTTCACCTTCAAGGCCAAATAGAAGCACACCATTGAAGAGAGGCTTTCGAGATGCTGAAAGCTATGCTTTGGGCAGAATTTACATCTCCACTCAGGAATGAGAACCAGGCTCCAAGCCTCGCGGTTTGATAGCTGTAAGGAATTTGCTTCAGCAGCTTGACGAAGTTTGGTTAGCACTTTGGCGCATAGAACAAAGTCTTTCACAAGCCCTGTCTGAAGCCTCAAAATCTTGGCCAACTGCTCTGCTGCACTCCGAAGTTCCACAAGCCTTGGCCCGTGGTTCGCCCACTGTGGCAAATCAAAAATAGCCAGGAGACCTACCAACTCATCCCCTGCCAAGTCAACCTTGACGCGATCAATCATGTCTTTGACAATCTCCCTCATTTCAGCCATGAGGTTGCGGATGTCTTGCACGCCTGCTTTGGTGCAAAGGTAATGCACTTTGGAGCCAAAATAGATCCTTACAAGCCATTAAAGGCAATGGCCAAAAACTACAAAACATGACTGGCATGTGAAACAACCCAATACATGAGACGAGGAGCGGCTCAGGGGTGTCAATTTGCTCAAAAACCAGCTGCGTCACTGAGCATCCAGGTGAGTCAAGCAAGGTGCCCCTTTGTACAGTCTTCGCGTCTCCTAGGACATAGCCGCTCACAAAGAGGCTGTGCATTCTCTTGCAAAAAGACTCAACCAGCTGCCCAGTCTGGGCAGGATCGGGATCGTCTATGTCACAGTGCTTTCGCAAAAACACCAGGCATTCAGTTGCATAGTCACAGGTCAATCCGCAGCGGAACAAATTGGTCGGTGTCATTGCTTGCAGAGCTGCTTGCGCGCGAAGGCGAACATCTTTGGCGCCTCTTTCCTGAGCACAGCTAAGATAGGAGATCAATCAGATATCTCTCTGTTGCAACCAACAATCTCCGCACAAAACGGATTAAAACAGATGACAGGATGTTGAAAAAATAGTTAGTTTTTGTTTGAAATGTTTGCCAAAACACATCGGCGGCTTGAAGCGCGCAAACAAGGGTTATTGCTCGAAGCATGCAGCAATATTTCATCATCGGTGTTGCGGTTGAATTGAACCGCTGCTTGGCAAATGAAAATGTGCGCGTGACCTTCTCAACCTGCAACATGGCCGGAGAACCGTCTGGGTCTGCCACGGCATCTTGAGCTGCTTGGACCGCTGGGACCGCATTGACCGCTGAGCGATGCTCCAGGACAACTCTCTGCGCTGCCACCAACCTGGCCCTCCACACATCAGAATGCTGAATGTCTGGAACCAGCGCATGCTTTCCACCAAACAACCGAAGCCATTGCTCATTAAAGTTGTCATTTGCACGCAGAGGGTCTTTGCTCGCAATGCGCACTTGATGTGCCATATCACAGCTCACCCACACAAAGCTACGCAGCTCTGCTTTGCACGCCAGCAGCTGGCCGCACTTGTGCGCACTCGACCCCTGGTCCGAGCAATAGTGCTGAACCTTGGCACAAATCTGGAAGAAGGACTCCTGGTCAAACTGATTGTCGACATTTCTGCAGCATTGCTTGAGGCCTTCCATGATCGTTGCAGCCATGCGTTCACTTTTGTCTTGGTCATGTGACTGAATGGTATTGGATTTCACATTGCCACCAGATTGAATGACAGCAAGAACACCCTCATGCACCAGTGGCTGCACAGAGCACCAATCCTCCAGCTTGGACTGCATTGTGATGGTTGGCAGCCGTTGCTTTTCATCACTGGTGCATGCTAAAGTGAAGCTTTGCATTGAGTCATAGCTGCACCGATACCGAACAAGACGGTACTCACCACGATCATCCACAGATAAAGAAATGCTGGCAGCATGTTTCAATCGATTCAATCTCTCAGAACGCAAAATCCAAGCCATGACAAGTATCATCCGGGACAAGCCTTGCTGAGTCACCCGCAAGATGAACTAGTTTGCGTTATGCGTTGGGATTCTCAAAATCAAAAACACAATTAAATCAATCAAGGGGCTTTTGCGACTGACAGTGCATCTCCGGCCATGCGCGTAATCTTCAGTCTGATAATACCGCTCAGCTTGGAAGAAGCTGCTGGCAGTTCGACAACTGCTCCACGCCCTAAGCCAGTCAGCTGGCTGCGGCGCAGAGCCACGCCATAGCGACTGATCATCCAGATGGTATGGGAGAAGTTCAACCAGAGGCCGGTCGGGCTCCAAGTACAAGTTGGTGGCTACTCTGTGAACAGTCCCTCGGGCGTGTTGTCGGATACAGCTCGACTGCATACATGTCCTGCTTTGGGCGGTTAATTAATCCAGCCCTGCCGAAATCAATTCGCAACAGAATGACCAAACGAAAAGCATGGTGAATTTGCAACTTTTTAAATAATTGCTCCTGGAGCGAACTTCAAACGCCCCCCACTTCGTCGAAAGGCGGCTTCCCAGCCTCAAAAAGATGGTCTGGTAAAACACAACCATGACTGAAAGCTTAAACTAAAGGCAATGCAACAACAGTTGCAGGTTTTCACTTAGTTTCAACAACTGGCGCTGCCAAGAAGCAACCGTTGACGTTGCTGAGGGTCCTTTGCCAGAACACTCATCAAATGTGAGCAGAAAATGCAGCCAATAGCCCAGCGCCCCCCCCGTCTTGCTGGCCACTCTGAAAGCCATGTAGAAACCACTGGCTTGCCCCACTGTTGGTGACGAAGACTACCAATGGAGCACCAAGCCTTTTGGAATCGCAGAAACCTGTCATGTTGAAAACCCACACACGTGCACACACACGAATCTGGACTCAGGAGTTTCAATCGGAAACAAACTGGCACCCGCCCCCCCAAAAAAAGAAAAGAACGTTTTAAGCCCTCCAGTGCCTGCAACGGGCGCACTGTGACTGCACACGCTTGCCATCATGCTCAGCTAAATGGCTGGCAGAACAATCTTCTGCAAGGCCAACGACCGAAGCGCCGTTGTCAGCATGATCGGCTAAGTCACCCTCGGGTCCGTGAGGTTCAACTGGTCCAGCCTGCCTTTTCTGTGATGCCTTTGCAGAAAGCTCCCGGCTAGAAGCACAAACACAACCATAGATGGCGCCTGAGAAGCGATCTGGACAAAGTGGTCAGCCAGTAGTTTCAACCTGGCAAACCATGTCAAATTTTACTTGTCCGTAAAAAATATAAACTGCTTGATGGACTTACAACGAGTCTTTGCGCGGGATATGTAAAGTAAAGGAAGACATGTGCAATAATGTTAGAAACATATGAAATCATATGATACGAAATCAATAACTATATACTTTTGATATATACGAGGCCAGGTCGAAGCTGAGCCCTGAATTTAGCTTTATAGGTTCAAGCACCTCCGCACACGCACAGCTCATAAACACGATGGCCTTAGTGGAGGAATGTAAAAAAGCTAAGATTTGGGAAAGATAAACCGCTGAGCCCTGACACACACCAGTAAACAACTACTCAGAGCGAGGCTGTTCAATCCAGGGCCGCGGAACCGCTGGACCACAGGACCGCTGGGCCGCAGGAAACAGCTACGGCAAAGACTCTCTAACTTAAAGTTACTGACCTACTGGGCAATGCTTTGGCAAACTCAAAGCTTTTGACGGTGAGGCATCATCACCAGCCCCATTTCCCACCAGCACGCGGTCAAAGATCAAACGGTTAAGGACCATGGGACTACAGAACCGGAAGACCACGACTTGTGCAAAACAGCTCAGGCTGACAGCGCTCACTGATTTGCTATGATCATGGGCAAGGCTTTGAATCTGGAAGCTTTTGACAATCTTTGGCAACCTTTTTTTCAAAACAAAGGCATCAACATCAGCCTCTTTGCCCACGGTCAAGGATCGTGGGACCACAGGCCCGCTGGCCCGCTAAAGGGGATGTTTAAAAATTAGGAACCTTCTGCCGCCTTTCCGCAACCCAAAGACTCAAGTATAATATTTGCTTACTTTCTCGTCGGCACGGCGAGTGGGCATGGAGGCCCGTACTTCTGGAACAGCTCGGTGATCTCGGTTCTCATATTCGGATTTGTCAGAGTCACTGTACCAAAAACATGTGCAAAAAAATGCATTTACTTCTTGTAATCCCCGCCATGACATGTCACGCCATATATTTGAACATATATTTTATATTCTATATTCTGACATTCTATGTGACATAAAAAATGACATTCTATCTGGCATTCTACCTGACATAAATTCTGACATTCTATCTGGCATACATTTTGGCATTCTATCTGACGTACATCCAGACATTCTATTTGGCATTCTACCTGGCTTTCTATTTGACATATAGACTCTCTTTGCTTTGCAGATACACTAGGGACACAGGTGGAAAAATCCGTTTGGCAGTCATCTACAGACCAGCCCCAGGACCAAACTCCTCAGTCCCTTTCCCTGACCCAGGGAGCCAACCCAACAAAACAAAAAGGGACCTCCAATCATATTTGCTCCGGAAAAAGCAAAGTAAAATAGAATAGCGTAAAATAAGAAACAGCAACAACCCCCCAAAAAAAACCGAGCAGACCCAGAAACATCTGTCTGTTTGGACTCCAAGTTCTCAAGGCTCACCCAAAACTCCGAGGCCAACGTCTTCCGCCGCAGGAACTCCACCTCGGACGACATGGGACGGGGCGTGGGGGGGGAGATGGTGGGGTGGAAAAAACGGGAAGGCAAATACTATGGAAGTGGGAGAGCGCCATGGATTTGTGGTTGTTTTTCCGCGGTGTGCCAACCGAAAAGCTTTGCGGGGTCCATTTATGGATGACGCTACTTGTAGGTAGTTGACCGGGTCTTTGCGACAGGGGATCTCCAGCACTGTGGGGTCACCATGGAATGAAAACGCAATCCCGTCCACAGCTGCGCAATAAAACACCTCGACATCAACCGTACCCGTCTGCGCAAACCCGGCTGTGCACAGTGTCACCGTTCGGTAGTGCTAGTGATGCTAGTGCTTCCCCGAAATGTTGTCCCAGAGCGGAAAAAAGGGGCGAAAAAGCAACACGTGCCACCAGGAAAAACGCACCCTGAGGATTGAAGATTGCCGAAAATTGTCGATTGCCGCGCATCCGCTCGCAACCGTGGAGGGTTGAAGAAACACTGAATCATTGCCTAATCACAAAAGGAATTGCCGCTATTCTTTGTTTGGCGCCCCCTGCCCACTCTTATTTCGGCCCTCTGGCCCGGGATAATTACTCCGATTCGAAGATTTCGGAGGAACCGCTTATGGGGGCGCCACGGCTATTCTTTTCATTCATTCTCAGACTTTAAAGCGTCTGAATTTGGCAGTGTGTCTTCGAGTGGGGTTCCAACGCCAGAACAGAGGTTGAGTGGGCCGTTCTTTGTTTCGGGAAGTTGTGGCACGACACCCGCGCGCGAAGGCCGATCGTTCAATCGAGTGAACAGGCTAAAAGGCAACGTCTCAAGTCTCAACCACAGTGACCCTGATCATCACGCACAAAACGGTCAAAACCAAAGCAGCTTTAATCCCACTCAGTTAGTTTTGTCTAGTATCACACACACACTTGGAAAATGCGGGCTGAACTGAATAGGTATATTTATATGAACGCCTAAAAGAGTACCAAGAATGAGTCCAAACATGAAAAACCTCCTTTACTGGAGAGTGGAGTCACGGTTTGGTCAACAGTTCAAAAAGCGCAAGTACAGGAATGTGCGTCCACATTCCCTTCCGGCTGAATCCCATAGCTTCGTTGGCATGGCTAGGGAAACAGTTGCCGGCGCTGGTACACTTCTCGATTTGTGCGTGTCATCCCAAGTGAGCGCATGTGAGCGAGCATGTTTTCTCGAGCTAGGGCCTTCACTTTCACTCTGTTTGTTCCCTTGAGCTGTCTTGGCACGTTGACTGGTCGCATGTATGCTTATAAGTCTTGACACGTTTTTGAGTCCGATGACAACGTCCTGGAATGCCACCGTTTCCATTACCACCACTTAACAAGGCAGGGGGCCATCCCCCTCCCCAGTGGCGGATGGCCAACGAAGAGGCCACTGGGGGGGGGCTGCAAACGTACGTGCC